CTTTTTGAAAAGTGAAAGGTTAGATTTTAAAATAAATATGTGGGACAATGCTTTTCTAAAGCTCATGGTATTCTTCTCAGAACCAGGCTTGCTTGGTCTAATGTGAATTTGGTGAAATCTAAACCATATGAACGGACAGTAAAAATCATAAAACTTTGCTTTTGTCCGTGCCTTGGTCTCTTTCTTGTTGTCTTTTCCTACTTTTGCTTTTTCATTTTGGGTGGATTATCTTTTTTTATGGTGGACTCCAGCCCTTCCTTTTAAGTAAAGGTTATCTCTCATGATAAAAGGATTCAGTGGGAGGGAAAAGCCAAATGTTGCCTTGTTTTTCTTTCTTTCTTTTTCTACCTGTAAACTGACGTGGCATATTGTCTCGGAAAGAAAGCATCTTAAAATAATTAATTTTACCGTATGTTATAGCAATTGTCTCCAAAAGATTCTTTTTTATTTATTATTAATTTTTTGAAGATTGCAAAGGATTCTTTAATTTGTCTTCAATGAAATTTTATATTATGTGTTGATGGCTTTGTGAAGCTGGTAAAAAATTTCCTCCTAAGAACTTAGAATATTATAAATATTTACTAACACAATTCGATAGGCTCCCAGATATGATCATGTAGGATATCCATACTTCCTATCTCCTTCAGTCTCGTTGAGGTCTTTAATTAAGAAATGAAAAATTCAGGATATGCGGAAAAAGATGTTGCATCCGCTGATATGCGCAAACAAAGACAGATAATAAATATGTACAACTATTTAATTTTTAACAAAAATAAAATAAAATAAAAATATTTCTCAGAAGAATTGCCTAAACTTGTACCTATATATATATATATATATATATCTAAAAATTGAAAATTTTTTTGGGGGTTTTTAATTTTCTTGACAGTTGGTAAGGATTGGGTTTCAATTGTTTTCATACAATAAGTAACAAGGGTTTTTAATATGCCTTTGTGATTGTAATTGTTTTCTATCGTGATTAATATCAAACTAGACCAAAATACTGGTCAGAATATAGTATGAATAGGCATTTATACTTTATTCGTACTCTCTGGGAACTTTCCTTTCTGGGTTCAAAAGTTAGGTCTTCCATTGTATGCAGCAAATAAAAAACAAAAGACGTTTGCAGCTCATTATTGGTCATGGCTTAAAAAAGTATGGTGATAAGGTTTACAAGCTATAGTCAGCTTTGGTAGCGTCCACCTGTTACTTTTTATCAAGAGAAATATGAGTTTAGTGTGTTAAAATTTCCCATTGGCAGTTGATTTTTCGTCCACCAACTCTCCTTTATCCTCCGCTTCCGTCTTAGAAAATGTTATCTTCCTTTGACAATCATAAATGCCACGAAATGAGACCTGAATTTGCTTGGAAACGATTGGTTAAGTGTGGTTAGGCTGTTCAAGTTTACACCTCGTAACCTTCCTACATGTTTCCATCCTGTCTATTTTCTCCCCACTCCTAAGCTATCTGATCTGTCAATCTGACAACAACTCAGAAGCTTAATCCAATCAAAAAAGAAAATACAGCAATTCCGAGATTTGCATAAATCTCAACTGAGTCTAATGATATTCTATATACTTTGTTCAAAATTTTCTTAATACATTGTATTAGTTGTACAAAACATTACACCCTTTATATTTGTCCCAAATATCTTTTCTCTGATGTGCTTATTAATTCATAATTATATAATAAGTCATTTTATTATTTCCTTTCCACCTTTTTGATATCAAAATAAAAAAGGCATTTAAAGAATTTGAACCTAGCATATTTGATGCATAGGACATGCTTATGAATTAGATTCTAGTTTGTGTTTCTAGGTGTTGCAATGAACGTTCATTGTTTATGGACTTACTTATTTGTTGGGTAAAAATGAATTAATGTTAAAGTAACATACAATCCAAATTTGGAAATCGGCATTTCCAATTATTTGATTCATTGGGCAATTAGGATATGAACACTCAATGTTAATGCCCACAATCATTTCAATATATGAGAAATTTTTATATTAAAACCTGTGTATGGCTGAACCTCGATTTCACTAGATGTTGTGGTTGCTTGTTTAGAGTTCTGCTGTTTAGCGCATGTCTTAAACAAAACCCTGTATTTATTCCACAGTGATGGGAAGCGTTGCAATGAAGGACTACACTGAAGCTAGCACTATTGTCTTCCTCTTCACCACTGCAGAATGGCTT